AAAGTTCCAGAAACAAAGCATTTTAAAAACTTTATGATGGAATGAAAAAACTAGAGTTGTCTAAAGCTTTATAACTGTTGACATAATCTCATGTCCAATGCAAAGTAGCCCTGCACTTTAATAGATAGATTCTGCATATTAGAAATAGAGCACTTGGATTTGTCAGAGAGTTCACTGTTCAACAAGGATGAGTACTGGTGGAAGACTGACATGAGCTGAAGTTGAGAGTCAAACCAAATATGCTGGCAGCCTCTGTAGCCACTCTGGATATGAGGTAATTGATGACTAACATTCAAAACATATCAATTATCTCTGTTCACTGTCATTTCTAAAATGAGGAGACCAAGAAATAATGTCACTCACAGTATGGTACCTAAACAAAACATTGTGTTTACATAGGCACCCTTCCAACATAAGTCTGAGCTTTTGCAGTCTCCCATTTGATCATACCTCATAGGCAAGTGGAGGCTCAAAATTTCTCATCTAGACTCAAGTATTGACAAGCAACCCCAATGTTCAACATGGCAGCCACTAGCTCCATTTGATTACTTCCATGAAAAATTAAAGTATTAGAGCTGAAAGTATACCGTAGTGGCAGAGTGCACGGTCGGCATATACAAAGCATAGCATGCTCAATTCTCAGCAACACTAAGTAAGTTAGTTAAGTTATTCATATTTGAATATATAAAATTTAGCTCCTCACTAAACTGGCCATGTTTTAAGTATTTTAACTACTGCATGGATGAAGTGGTCCCTTCATTGAGCAGATCAGATAAAGAATATCTTGACATCAAGGCATCTTCTTTTTAACAACAGTGTTCTAGAAGAATTCCCTGAAGACAATTATCCAATTTTTTAAAGTTATCTCACCAGATTTCCTGTGTGTGTGTGTGTGTGTGTGTGTGTGTGTGTGTGTGTGTGTGTAGAGAGAGAGAGAGAGAGGGAGAGAGAGGGCGCTGAGGTGACATGGCTCTGACATGGCTCTCCTTCCTACCCACTAAACAGGCATAAAGACTATTTTCTTCAGGCTATGGGAATACTTATGATCCACAAAGAAGGCCAACTTCATCTGAGATGAGGATCTATAACCAAGATATTTCACTAAAATCTTTAATTTAATTTTTTAGTTCATTGCTCATTGAGGTCATTTTTGAATAGTGTCATAGCTTACCACACTTTGTATAAGTAAGCAATGATCTAAAAAAAATCAACATACTACCCTGTTCCTGACAGACATTATAGACACGAGACTGGGTTAGATGGACTTGAACTATCTGACAATGAAGTGAAAACTGAGGCAAAGCATGAATGAGGAGGAGGCAGTCATTGGTTGATATCTGGAGGAAGGCTGTGCCAGGCCTGAGAACATAGTCAGTGCCCAACCTAGGTGTGGAAAAGCTCAGCATGCCTGAGGAAGGGAAAATCAATGTGGTAGAACATAGTAAGATAGAGGGAGATTAGAAATATACAAAATTGGAAAATTCAAGATCATGGGTGTTTATAGTTGATGCTAATCCTAAAGGCATATTGAGTAGTTTTGAGTAGAGTGGGGACCTTCTTTGGGTTGGGTTTTTAAAAGCTTTCTGGGCAGCAAGCGGAAAGGGATTGTCTTAGTTAGGGTTTTACTGTTGTGAACAGATACCATGACCAAGGAAACTCAGATGAGGGCAACATTTAATTGGGGCTGGCTTGCAAGTTCTGAAGTTCAGTCCAGTATCATCAAGGTGGGAGCATGACAACATCCAGGCAGGCATGGTGCAGGAGGAGCTGAGAGTTCCACATCTTCATCCGAAGGCTGCTAGAAGATTGCCTTCTAGGAAGCTAGGACAAGGGTTTTAAAACCCATGCTTACAGTAACACACCTCCACCAACAAGGCCACACCTATTCCAACAATGCCACACATGCAAATAGTGCCACTCCCTGGGACAAACCTATTTCAAATCACCACAGGGATTTATATCAACCAGGTCCTAACAAGAAAAGGCCATAGTCAAACATTTTCAGTAAAGAGTTTCAAAGAGGGGTATGTTGTGGGTTGACTATGAAATGTCCCCCACATACTCACACATTAAAGAGTAACAACCTATTTTGGGAAATGACAGAAGTTTTGGAGATGACACCTGGCAGAGGGAGGTTGTGTTATAGGGGTACAGTTTTTCCCACCCCTGCTGGGATCTCTTTCTGCTGTATTGCTGTCATGAAGACAGAGAGCTCTGATCCATGATGTCCTTCCACCATGATGCTCTTCCTCACAAGACAAGAAACAGTATAGTATGCTGTGGGCTGAAAGCTCTGAAACCATGGATCATACTAAATCTTCCCTTCAGTAAGTTGTTTTTCTCAGATATTAGTCAAAGAAAAGAAGAAAGAGACATGTGGAAGACTATGGATATAAGCATGGGTAGCAGAACAGAATCCAACAGGAGTTAGAGAAGTATAGGAACTATAGAGAAAGGGGAGCCATGATGGTGAGATCACAGGTCATCTACCTGATCCTCTGTTTTCTCCACATCATGCTGCCCCACAATCCAGTCTCTTCTTCTCTAAAGAGTTGACAAACAAGCGTGCTGTGACCACTCCTGCAGCTGCCTCACTCTGCCTAATGGGAAGACCTAAGAAAACCTTAAGTTATAGTGAATGCTTTCCTGCCTTGCAACTTGGAGCATGTAAATTAGGTCAGTGAGGTCATCTAATATGGATATATATCTCTCTCCCCTTCAAAGTTGAAAGAACAAGAAATATCCCATTATTTCCTCAGAACTGAAAGTCTGTCTCTCTTTAGGACCCCATCATGTTGCCTATGGGATTATGTTATATCTTTCTTAAGATTCTGGAAACTGAAAGCTGTCTTCCTTCAGGACCCCTGTCACGGTATTCATGCCAGTTGAGTCTCCTAACGCTCTTCCTCAAATCTAAAGGTGTGTTTTAGAATTTCAAGCCACAATGTTTCGCATTAATAAAGTTCATCTGAAAAGTAACTCACCCCGGCTTTCCTTCTACACACACAGCTTCTATAAGTTGTAATAGTCCCTTCAAAGCCTGAGAGCCATATGGAACGTACAATGATCCTTCGGCCCTGCCTTTTTACGTGTGTTTTCCCCAGGTTGGAAAGGATGTTTATCACTGTCATTCAAAGCAACTGGGGTCACTCAGATGAGACATGTGTTATCATGACTCTTAGCATGTCCTCAGAGAGCACTCAGACCCCCTCTTCTCCCTTACTGGATATATGCAGTGAACTGGGTGCTAGCTTGAGACTCTTCAGCAGTGTAGCTGTTTATATCTCAATCTAGTGGGAATTTTCACTGGTATAGCTTTACATGAGATATCCACGTTGTGACTTCACCTCTTCAACTGTGCAGAGTTTTGTGGAGCATTCATATGACGGCTGGGATTCTTCAGTGGTGTAACTGCCCATAAGTTCCTAGAGGATCTTGCAGTGGAATATCAACCTTTGGGTCACTTGTGCTACAGTAAGTAACCAGAATTAACTCATTGGTTCACAGAAACTAGACTTGGATGGAACCCTTCCTCTTGTTGGTTGTTACCCTCCCTATTAGGAATTAATAGACTCTTCTTTACATTCCCCCAGGAAAATTGAAGTGACATCCTGGGAGAATGAAAGCCAAGGATGAGGCCTCATGAGAGCTATTGTCTGAGTACTACCACCCTGTGGAAAAGTTAGAAGAATGAAACAAGTGTTCGTTCCTACCTTTTCTCCTTCTAGCCCTCTACTGGGACTCTCGTTTTCTGGCACATAGTCATTAAGACAAGAAAGTCAAGCAAGAAGGGAGAAAAGTTTCATTTTTTGAAGACTGACCTCAAGGGAGGAAAAGCAGAGCCCAAAAGGATAGAACATGACTAGGAAGGAAAGGGCAGGAGCATAGTGTCATGTACAGAAAAGGAATCAATTTTCAAGGAAGAGTTGAGTACACAGCATACTAAGAACTCTAAAAATAAAATTATAATTCAGTGTAAACAAGATTGGCCAATATAAAGAATTATTTTCTTAAAATTTTAGTCTATGGTAGAGACACATTCGTTAACACTAGTTAAGTGTAGTGTTTAACTAGGTTATTAAAGTGCCTTCATTCTAGTGCCTATGAGAAATAATTTCGATATCTTTAGAAATAAGTAAAAGAAAATAACCAGCTCTGCCAAACTTATAAAACAATCAGGTCATATGGGAAGAATCCACTTTATCTTTGGGCTCATTCTCCATGATATTTGTGCTGGCCTCCCTGGCCCTTAAGTAAACACTCTCCCAGGTAGAAATATGAATGATAAATGTCTGTGAGCAGATATTTAAACTATGTTTCCATGAGAAGGAAACATTAACATTAAAAGAATGCTCTAGTAATCATCATATCCAAAGCCCAGGTTTTCCCCATTCCTGTAACTCTGCGCTGTCTTCTCCACACTTTAATCTTCCAGAAACATTAAGCCCACCCTCACCCCCAGTACCCCAAACTGACAAAACAGCAATAAAGTTTGTTTAAAAAGTAGAAAAAGACTGGAGAGATGTTCAGTTGATAAGGTGCTTATGCAACAAGATCTGAAAGTGAATCTCTCAAATTACATGAATCCAGGCATCGTAGTATGTCTGTAACAGCAGCGCACCTATGGTAAGATAGGAAGCAGAGGAGAATTTCCTGGAAGCTCCAAAGCCAGCTATCCTGGCATATGAACCTCGCAATGGAGAAGAGACTCTGGGTCAAATGAGGTGGAAGGTCATCCTCTGAACTCTGTGGTGTATGTGCACCCACAGTTACTAGACAAACTTCTCTCTCTCTCTCTCTCTCTCTCTCTCTCTCTCTCCCTCTCTCTCTCTCTCTTTCTCTCTCTCCTTCTCTCTCTCTCTCTTTCTCTCTCTCTCTCTCTCTCTCTCACACACACACACACACACACACATACACACTACACACGCAAAGAGCAAGAGAGAGAGACAGGCAGACACAGACACACACATACGTGCACATGCACAAAATTTTTAAGAGTGTGAAGACTAGAGTTTTATTTAACCTAGAAACATCAGATTAGCGAGAAAGGGGCAGCCATTTCAGTACTAGTTAAGTAAGCTGAGAAAAGGACAGAATTTATTATCCAAACAATGACCAGGAACCTTGGAAATGAAGTAATAACCTTACAAGTAGAGAGCTGCTTGCCTGGTAGACTCTCCTTTTGTTTTCCTCCTTTATGGGTGAAAAGGTGTGAGCTCTTTCAGCCGAACCACCTGAGGAGAGAGAACAAAACACATACCAGAAGATCAGGGTATGGGCAAAGAAGACAATTGGAAAAGACCAAGAGCAGAGACAAATGTTACAACTATTTGTTTATAATGGCTATGGAAGAGCATCCACCACAACCAACACGATGCCTAATAACTAGTGCTGGGAAGCTAGGTAAAACATCCCCATTCAGGTGATACAGAGAGGAACAGCATAAAATGCCTAATGTCCCTGTATGTGGCAGATATAGGGTTTAGGGAGATGAGATTTGACAGATTTTTCAAGGCAACATTTCTTCTTGAATACAGAACTCCAGAATTCTCTATATAGGTCACCTAAAGTGACTAGCTGAGGAACAATCTGCTTAGTTTCAAGATGAAGTCTAAAGAAAACAGACAGCAACAATTTATGACAAACAAAAAAATAAAGCAATTACCAAGGACCCCCCCCCCCAAAAAAAACATTTCCTAGAGCTAAAACTGCACCAGGAACTACTTGAATTCCATTCAGCCTCAATAGAGAGATGACATAATCATGACCACTTTATATAATTTCTTAAAACTCTATCTTAAAAAGTTAAAAAAATTTACATTTAAATTTATCAAAGTCAAGAATACAAGGTTAATATACAGAAAGCTGTGATCTACTGCATTTGTATATTCTAACATCTAGTAATTAGAAGTGTAATGTAAAATAATTCCACTTATCAATAACATGCCATGCCAATGCATACTTTGCCAGAATGTGTGCAAGAACTGTCTAGTGAGAATGGCAAAACGCTGCTGACAGAAATTAAAGACCAGAGTTGGGACCCATCCTGTTTCTCAATACTGTTTTAGTAACAAGTAGCAACTTCCTTAAATTGATCTAGAACATGCCGACCACCCTTCCTTTTTGAAGCTCACTAGAGTGACCCTTTCTAAGTTTTAAATGTATGTGTGGCTTTTTTATGGGTTTCCTAGAGGTTCTAGAATAATGTCTAAATTCCATAGAGTAGATACAAGATGTTCTGTGATCTGAGCCACCAGCAGATCTCCCTTCTGACTGAAATGTCCACCTTTTTTCTCTGGTGAACCTTTCAGGCAAGAACTGGCTTTGATTCCACTTCTTTCTGATCCACCCAGGTAGATATCACCACTGACTCTCTTGAGACTACAGTAATCCCAAATTAGCCTTCTCACTCACCATGACTATATCTCATTTCTTAATCTTTACCTCCCTGGACAGACTGTTTGCTCTTTGGAAGCTCTGGCAAGGTCTGTCTTGCAGGTAGGGACATCCGTATCCTATTCATTCCTGTCTGCCCAGCTCTTGCACCAAGCCAAGCATACAATGAGCACTGGAGTATATTTTAATGGACCATTCTGTAATGTCTGCATGAAAGAGAATAGGAGAACAACATCCAAGAATGAAACACCCCAAACAGGGTAGCTTTAGAGGTGAACAGGATATCCTAAGGCTGACTAAGAACAATCAAAAGAAAAGGACATTTCATAACAGAGGGGATTATTAATCATTTTTCCTCTGACTCCCTTTTTGTTTTGGCACTGCTTGAGACCCAAAGCAGCCCTGAGGAAATTGTATTTGACCACAAGCACCACAAACTATGCCTAGTTTCCCATAGTAAGTCCAAATGCGAATTTTAATAGTTATCTGTAGTTTTGCCCTACCTGGTCCTCATGTTCCACTTGATACTTTGCATTTCTTTCCATAATAAACACATGAAAATGTTTATAGGAGCCAAATAAAGAGTGTTGGTCCAGAAGTGCTGCTTGGCCCTGAGAAGTCAGTCTCCTCCCACTTCACCTTTTTCAGATTCTCCATGGCATGCTTACCTCTGCACCTTTCAGAATTAAGGGCTACTATTCTAGAGCCTGGTTCTCTTGCATATTCTTCAATCTGTAACTTTGCCTGGATGTCTGTTCTTTCACCATTTTTATAAGTCCCTGTAATCACATAACTTTTCAGAAGAGATCTGTTACCCCATAAAAAATGGATCCTTGTGATAGCTGGAGATTAACACATTCATGCTCCAATCTTTTTCATCAATTTTTAAAATATCAATCTAAAACACAGCCAAAGAGATGTATACTAAATAGATGACAAAGGTAAAAGGGAAGGCAGGACAGTCCTGGGAGATGCAAGACATCTCTGCTTCAGAGAAGGCAGAACTGTGGCTTGGAACAAAGTTCCCTGTTGGAATAGTTGTCACCCCAAGATGCTTCTCTAAGAATCTCCCTGTGGGTCCCAGAGAATGTTCTACATCTCCACACCAGTCTCTTCCTGTGCTGCCACAAGAAGGCATGGATTTTCTCTTCTTGTTTTTTTCCTTCCGGCCAAGCAAACATATACTTCCAAATCTACATTGAATTAAACTGAAAGAAATGATTTTCTGAACTCAAAGGAGACTACCTACTTTTCTCATGCAGAGATGGAGAATGCCCAACTGAATGGGAGAAGTACTCGGAACTGTTGCTTTGGAAAGCCTGGAGTCACCTTTGATGCTTTACTCAAGACAGCCTGGTTTTGCATTGGCAGCTTCCACAATCTCAGAGAAATTGGTGTCCCATACCAGCCTATTGTCTTTCCTCAGCCTTACTGCCTATGAATACCCCAACATATTTTCTATTATAGCTTCAGATGGTTGGTTTCCAGCCCTCCTTGTATGCAAGGTTTTGCATCCTTCTTTTCTGGGTGAGTTAACATCCACCATGTTTAAAACCCACTACCATCCCCAACTTTTTACCTCAACTTGAAAAGATCCCTGAAACACTATTGTTGCCTCTTAAATTCTTCACGGTTCACTAACTTACCAACTTCCTACATTAAAATTTCTGTGAGTGTGTCACTGCATTCAGTAAATTCTAAGACTACAAAGAAAGCCACACAAGTACAATCTAACTTCTAAGACTTCAGGTACTGTGGTTTTTTTTTGTTTTGTTTTGTTTTGTTTTGTTTTGTTTTGTTTTGTTTTGTTTGCTTTTTACTTTCATTCTGTCTGTGGCCATGATAAACACCATCATCAAAAAGCAAATTGGGAAGGAAAGGGTTCATGAGTCCATCTCTGAGGGAAGTCAGGACAGGAGTTCAAGGCAAGAACCTGGGTGCAGGAACTGAAACAGAGACTAGAAAAAAATGCTGCTTACGGCTTGCTCCTTATGGCTTGTTTAACCTGCTATACACATTCCCAGGACCACCTGAGAAAGTGCCCATAGGAACATGCCCATAGGACAATCTGATACAAGCAATTCCCCAAATGACACACTCTCTTTCCAGGCAACTCTAGTTTACATCAAGCTGATAAGACCTAGCCAGCACATCAGGTGTTAGAAGCTATCCTCACAGCTACTTACTTCTGTGCCTACTGTTTAACGAATGCTATTAAACATGGCCACCCCTTTTCTCTGTTAACTGGACATGAGCAGCTGGAAATAAATAGCCTGCCTTAAGACTGCTGTGACTAAAGCATGTCAAGCCACCTTCCCAGAATGCCCTAGGCTTAGCATAAATAAAACATAAGAGAAAAGAAGCAAGACATGGTATATTTTAAACACAAGGAAGATTATCAGTAATCCCTCCTTGCATTGAGTGAAATGTTAGGAAGAGAATGAATACAAAGAGCATTTGAAGAGGTTAATAAAGCTTTTAAAGTCAATGTAGTGACTTCATTTTTTTTTAAGAAGCTAAAGTGGGGGCTAGGGTGATAGCTTAGACAGCAGTGCTTGCTTGCAAACATGAGGACCCAAGTTTGATCCCCAGGATCCAAGTAAAAAGACAGATTGTGAATGGAGATGCATGTTTATAATCTCAGTCCTGGGGAGATGGAGACAAGGAGACCTCTAGGGTCACTGACCATTCTAACCTAATAGGTACAATTCAGGTCTCAGTGTTTTGACTATAACAGAACCACAGTTATAGTCAAAGACTGTCTCAAACTGACATTCTGAAGAATGATACCCAAGATTGACCTGTAGTCAATTCACCACCACCACCACCACCACCACCACCCCACATACACCAAAAAAGCGTAAATCTAGGGCAAGTGTCCAGTAACATGCAGCTGACCAGAGTCACCTACTGTGCTCATAAGCTCCACCAGCTATGACTTGTACAGTAGAGGACTAAAGCAGATGATAGCAGCGTCCATTTGCTTATGGACTCAGGACTTTGTAGAGAAGTGGTTTGCAACCTTCCTAATGCCGTGACTCTATATTGCAGTTTCTCACGCTGTAGTAATCCCCAACTGTAAAGTTATGTCATTGCTAGTTTACCCTAGAAATTATTTTACAATTGTAATTTTGCTACAGTTATGAAACATAATGTAAATATCTGATATACAGGATATCTGATACATAAACCATCCCCTAAGGATTTGCAACCCACAGGCTAAGAACCACTGTTACAGACAATTATCAGAAAACTATCAACTACTCTGGCTTGGTTTAAGAAACACGTTTCACTGTCAACAAGACAAACAGTGCTATAAAGCTTAGAAAGCCTGTCCTTCAGTTCACCCTAACCTAATTCTTGTGGCCTCCTGTCTAATTCCCAGGATACTAGTGAAAAACAGAGGCACCAGAAGCTTGAAACAGATGATGTTCCTGTATTCATAATTTCTTAGCAGTGATGTGTCTATTCAAATGGTGTCTAAAAGTAACAACTTACAAATAAATCCTAAGAGGCACAATCCAAAATTGCTTCTCTTCTCCTGGGCTGGGATTTCTGCCTAGCACTCTCCCAACTCACAGGGCCTGTTAAATAAACATCTGTACACAACTAATGGCTGCTAAAACACAGAGACTCGGTATTTTCCAAGGACAGGTTCACTGGTAGGTTGTTCAATAGTATGTGCTCAGCCCTTAACACATATGAGCAACTTTAGTACTCAGTAGGTTGTATTTATACATATATATTTATGTATGTTGTCATATGTACATACATTTGTAACAATAATAATTTTAAAGGATTATGAATTTGAGAGAGAGTGAGAGCAACACGGGAGGAG